CTTACCTAGAATGCTCTTCTCCTAGATACTCACATAGTTACTTCTTTTACCTCTTTCAAGTCTTTGCACAAATGCCACCTTTTCAATGAGGCCTACGCTGACCACCTATTCAAAATTACAACTGCATCCCACCCTCACCCCTTTTCCATAGCCTTTACCACCTTCTAACAAAATATGTAGTTTACTTATTAACAGTTAGGTATGTCTCTATACTCTTCTCCACCAAATGTAACCTTCACAGTGGCAGGTATCTATCTGTCTGTTTCGTGGACTGGCCTATGGTAAGCACCAAGAACAGACTCTGACTCAATAAATATTTGTTGAACTGGACTGAACTCGGAAGAAACAAATTATGCTGATGATACAAGATAACAATCACGAATGTTCTCAGAGGTAAGAGATGATATTTTGATCATGAAATAAGAGCTAGATTCAATAAAAAGAAAATTTAGATATTTACTCCAATCTCAATCCAGTAATAATAAAGACACCTTCACTCTTCATTTGTCCAGAAGTGCAACAGAAAAACTGGATTATAAATTTGGGGAAACTGCTCAGAAAATACAAAATGATAATGAGACGGAAAATAAAAGAGATTAATAAGAAATTTAGAAAACTATTTCCAGAGGTCCCCCATAACAGAGGTTCTAGAAGGACAAAACAGAAAATTTAGGACAAGAAATCTTAATGAAATTATTCAAGAAAATTTTCCAGAATTGAATGATATGAGTTTCCAGAATTATAAAGACCCCCCATCAAAACGATCCATGGGAAAAATTTCTCCCAAAATCTCACAGCCAGGAATATTGCCCTTCCTCACAACTGGTTTTTTTTTTTTTTTTAATCCAATAGACACAGTCAACGGACTGCTTCTCTCGTTTTCAGACATTTAGTCTTAAGGGAACTTAAAGCCAAACTGCAGTCTACATTAGCAAGCAAACAGGTTGATATGCATATCAGCATTCCGACCCACATCTGGCAGGAATCCTTTGACTGTCCTTCCCTTTATTCTCCACTTAACATCACTTCTTTATCATTGTTAAAAGTCATGCTGAATTGTGAGTATTTTTTATAAGCCATTTCAAATTCTCTTTGGACCACAGATGGGGTAAGTCAAATATAACACCATCCACTTAAAAAAAAAAAACTTGCACTAATTAATGTTTGTGAGAGAGTGGCAGAAGATAGTAGGAGATACAGGCTAACCTAAATTTTTCTGCAAAAAAATGCAGGTTGATGCAGCTTCATCATTAAAGCAATAAACCAATATCAGAGAGGGGAACTCAAAACAATGAGATAAATAACAGAGCCACAAATAACTTATGAGAATTCAAGAGTATTAAAATAGAGCTTAAACGTAAGTTACGCTAAATGCAATATAGTCCAGGATTAGATCCTGGAACAAAAACTGGTGAAATCCAAGTAAAATGTATAGATTAGTAAATAGTATTGTACTAATAGTAGCTTCTTAGTTTTTACAAATACCAGAATTATGTAAGATGTTCACATTAGGAAAAGCTGGGTAAAGGGAATACAGAATCTCTCTGAGCTATCTTCCCAACTCTTCAGTGAATCTACAATTATTCCGAAATAAAAAGCAGTTGCCTTGCAAGGGTAGAGAAAGGGGACACATCTGTCAAAACTTATCCAACTTTATAATTAAAATGTGTATGCAAATTATACCCAACAATAGTTGACTAAACAAACAAAAAAACAAGTCACAAAAATACATAAACATTACAATGCCCTTTGTGTAAATCTCAGTTACCTTGTTTCTATATGAATGGACAAATTTATAGCAGAAGTTGCTTCTTAGGCAGATGGGAAGATACAGTACAAGTGTAGGGCAAGTGAGGTACTCGCTTAGGGTATAAAATTTAAGAGGATGCCAAGAAACTCAGCAATCAAGATAAATAATATTTTAATATAATATCAAAATTTAAACCAAAAGCTAAATTTAAACCAAGAAGATTCATGATGAACAAAATACCAAAATTTTCAGTAAAGACAAGGTCAGTAACAGTGCCATGCCAGGCGACACTAGAGACTAAAGCAAGAGGCCAGTTCAGTCCTACTGGTCCTGACCTTTCTATCCCTGGCTGGAGGGGAGAGCCTGAAAAGTGAGACCTGAACTATGACGTCTTAGTTCCTGAATAAGAGTGCTGAAGCAAAAAAGAGCAAAAGATTGTCAGTGTAGTATTTTACATACTTCGGTGCATTTTGTTTCCTAATTTAAAAAATAAAAGCAATAAAAATTAGGAAGAAAATAATGCAAGGTACTCTATGGCCCAGCAAGCTATTTAAACAGCTTCATAAATGTCCAGTCTTACCTGAAAAGTGTGAATAGTTCTTGCCCAGGCATGTCTTATGCGACAATTTTGCATTAGTTTCCTAAAATCCACAGTTACTTCCAGGCCAGCCCTATTATTAATGGTCAAAAATCTTTTCTTTCCAGAAGTTATATCAGTTTTATCCTGTCACCAAAACAAAAAGCCATGTTGTATGTTTTCAAATGTACTATAAAAATATCCTATTTTTGGATTGAACATAAAATGTAAGCACCTTATAAGTAAAATGGCATGTCCATTTACTACCAGTGTTAAGAATTTCAAATGGCTTAAAATTCATGCTTGAGCACAAACTAAATATATATACACCCAAATAATTTAATAAACACAGATGGAAGTTTTTGGTCCTTGAAACTTAATCAAATTTGACTCTCTGGAAAACAATCTTTGTTGGCTTTCTTATTCTGAAGTCTATACATTTTATTTCTTGTACTTAAGTCTGTATATGCTCTTTGCAAAGAGTTTACTTTTTCTCACAGCCCTTAAAGAATAAACTTATAAAGTTTAAGAAGGTGTTTATACATTGAGAACAAATTAAAAGTGATTACTTCTACAGTTTCTATATTTGAGCAGCAACCAAAGAAATGATGCTTTGTAAAATATAGCGTTACTTGACCCTTGTTTTTGTTACTCAAGCATTTCACACTTATTAAAAATGTTTCTTCCCAAAGTCTTCCAGAAAACATAAGAGAAAGGAAAACTTCCCAAATATTTTATGAAGCCAGCATTACTGACACCGAAACCAAACGAGACACAATTAGAAAACTACAAACCAATATCCCTCATGAACATGGATGCAAAACTCCTTAACAAAAAATTATAGAAGAAGAATGTCAACTCTGATATGATTAGATTCTAAATTAAACCCAGGGCAATTTTTTAAAAAATCTATCTTTAAAATATCAATCTATCTCTAACAAGTAAAAAGGTACTATTTTTCTGTTGTCACTTACATGTGTTATGAAAAATACTTCTCCATTGCAGAGTCTAATGCCACTTTCAAAGTCATGCTTATTATTAGCAAAACCATGAGCAGTACCATTACAGACTTCACTGCTGGCCTCTAGTTCTTTATTTTGCTGACTGCTGGAGGTATTTTCAGGCAGTAAGTCCGAGAGATATGCATTCTTAGTACAACAAATTTTATCACCAACTCCAAATATAAGTCTATTCTTATGGTCTCTGGATTAGAAAAAGATAACAATCATCAAATTTGGATAACATTAATTTCATTTCATTTAAGCATAAACTCCCACTCAGATCCGATTCAGTCCTCAAGATAATTTCCATACTTTATTTCTCGTTTGTTCTCCCAAACGCAACAACTCAGGCTCCCATAGTCATGATGTGATTACTACCCTCTCTGTACCACCTCGGACTCAGTGACATTTCCCAGCCAAAGTTTTCAAGTTAGAAGTCCTGGCATAAATGCTGATGTCCCTATTTCCCTCTCAATTCTAAATGTTACCAAAAATCTTACTAATTCTACTTTTTAAATTCATCCTCTTCTCTCCAATCTCTCCTATCACTACCCTATTTCAGGTCCTACAGCACTTACACATATTTCTATGATAATAATTATAATGTATTAAAATAATAGCAGCAAATGAAAACATGTTGGTAATATACCAGCTAGTGCAATAAGTGCTTCAGGTATGTTATTTCATTTTGTCCTTATTACAACTTTATGAGGAACAGTCCATGTCTGTATCCTCTTTTACATACATGAAAAGGTGAAATTACCTGTAGGTGATAGAATCACCTACCGTGATAAATCTCAGAACAAACAAAAGAACAGCAAATCAAGGTGGACTGTCCTCAAGATTTCAGTTCTTTAGTGCTCACCTGACTAAGTGGCCTGTGTAGTGCTTGCAACAGCAGTCGTTGATGACATCACAGTCTTGCCTGAAACACATGAAAATGCAAGAGTCGCCTTAATAGTATGTTTTGTGCTCATTTCTGTTATCAATAATTATGACACACTGGATTCTATAAAACGACTCCAGGACTTTCTCCAGGAAAAAGTATTTTATACATTTAACTCAGCATAAACCTTTGTTCCATTCAGGTTTCCTGTGAGTTTCCAAATATAAAATTTGGTAGAAAGAGCCCTGTTAGAAACTGCCCTCTGCCATGTCTAACAAAGAAATACTTCAAAATAAGAGAGAATTAACGGTGATGAACTATGAGAGTCTCCTATTCAAACACTATATTAAAAAGTAATGTTATTACTTATTAATTACTTATTATTACTATATTAATAAGTAATGAGATTTAAAAGCTGGATTAAAAACTTTAAAATGTTATAAATGCTTTACCTTCTAAACGCAATAAATTGTGATGTTTCTGCACATTGTAGGTCGTTTTCTTTAAGTAAAGTTGTAACAGCAGAATATAAATCTGGTAATTCAAAAGAAAAAGTTAAAGTGGAAAAGCATGAAATTATAACATTGTTTCTATGGAGAAACAAAGTCAGAATTCCTGCTAAAGGGTCGAAGAATGTTGTTTTCTTTTACACAAAAAAGATCGTGCTGCTCTGCTCCTTGCTTTTTTTCCCCTCTCTCTACATCTAGCAGATCAGTATGTACGTATTTCAATATGTTCATTGTATTTCATTGATTCTAACATATATATTTTTGTCACATTTTAACATCTCTAAAATTTTAGCTCGGCTATGAAGCTTGTCTTAGGTCTTTGTACTCTGTGATAATGGGAATAATTTACTCAGTAACTTATTAGTTATCAATGAGAAAGTACTATATGACTCTAAGGAATATTTATTCAATTCTCTTAAAGAAGAAACTGATTTTCCAGATGAAGATTTTAATTAGGATAGAAAAATAGCATCAGTTAACTTCTGCTACCATTCTGAAACAGACTTTTTTTCTTTAAAGTACATTCTCATTAATGTAAACAATAGATGCCAGAAATAAAACTAACCATATTTTAGGTGGATCTAAATGGAGTAACGAAGAGATCAAGTTACTGAACCATCTAAGTCTCATGTTCTTCATCTGTTCTAGAACTTACTATTATCTGAGCTATCGTGAAAATAAATATTATCTATTCATTATTCACTATATATTTAATTTTAAAAATCACAAAACGATATGTAGCTTATAATCCAATTTAACCTAAAATAAATAATATAGGTTTATATATGGATATAATAAGGTTTAAAAGGATAAATACCCAGCTCTTACTAGGTATGTGACTTTTATGGAGTTGTCTTGAGGGAAGAGGTGAGAGGAAGATTACAGTGAAATACGACTTCAAACACTTCTGTACCACTGGCTTTTTTAGGAATATAAATTATTTCTATAATCAAAAAAACCAGCAAAGCATTTACAGACTACTATGTATTATATGATTCCATTTAAAAAGAAAAAAGGAATATTGCAACATGTAAATGAATACTAACCCAAGGGAACTGAGATTGGTGACATGCACAAATGAGGGAAGGCTTACAGATAAAGTTGTATGTTACTTAATTTCACAGAGTGAAAGTCGCTAAGTAGGAAGGATATACCCTTAAGAACTGTGGCAACTACAATAAATTCTCAATAATAATTATTTAAATCTTTGCTAATTCAATTTTGAGTAAACCATTACACTATTTTAAAAAGTTTGCTAAGGAAGTTTATAATAGAAATAAAGATCGAAAGGTTTAATCAATTTAAGTAAATTCACTTGCAATAGATAATTAATATCTATTATTCATTAAAAAAAAACACCATTTATATAGTGCCTCAAAACTGATGAATGCCCTCAACCCTCACAACAGCTCCACAGGCATTGTCACTATGATTCCTGAAATACAAATGGTTAAGTGATGGGACAGGGGTCATATATATAAGGGAGAAGATTTCCTATCCCATCCTCTTTCTCTGCCCTGTCATGGCGTCATCTTAACACCATAATTAGAAGCAATGTTTGTCCATTTCGTAAGAAATAAAACTATTAGGGCTCAATTTGGCAACAGTTTGACAGCCATTACTTTTGTATCACAAATGTACTCAAGATAATTTATTTTCCAGTTGCTGTAAATGAAAAACTTCATTAAGATATGCTTTCTCCTGAATGAACTTAGATTACTGGGGCTTTGCTTTATTTTAAATTAATCACCTACATCCATTTATTCACTCAACAAATATTTATTGAGCCCTTCGCATGGCTGTGACAAGAGCTTACTTCTTTATAAAACTCTAGGGTAATCTGCTTTTGATGATTAATAAATTAGTTCATTTATTTTCAGTGTCTAATTTTTTTTTACTAGCAATATATATCCCTACCATGAAATAAAATTATAACTAGTCATTTAATAACTGTATTACAAAAATGAAATACTTAGCCTACACAACATAAAAGCTTATACTTACGAGAGTGATGATCACTTTTCGACGACTGAGAACTGGCATCGTTTTCTGGGAGTCTGACAAAAATAAATGTTTTATCTTGTACTGAGACAGGGAGTGTTGAATTATCAGAAATGTTCAGCTCTGCATCGAATTTTGGAAATCGGCGTTTTGAGATTCTTAAATAAAGTAATATACCAGAACTTTAGTATCCAAAAAATGCATCTTCATATATGATCAGAGATAATGTCATTACAATAATTAATATTTGTTAATTGAGAAATAAGGCAAAAAGGCTACTCATATATGCATTATAACTAGTAAATTAGTTTTAAAATAGAATAAGCAGGACCATAAAGTTATATTTAGCAATCAGTCCCCCATCCCCAGCAAATTCAAAGCATTTGAAAAGATAAGGAATTTACTAAGCACCATTCTGAGAACCTGACCTACTTTTCTTCAGACTGCAAAAGAACCATACAAACTAGGTATCCTCACTTCACAGATGAGCAACATGAGGCTTAGTCAACTAGTGGGTTGCCCAAAGCTACGGAGGTAAAAGCAGGGGACCTAGGGGCCAATCTGGGCCCATTTGGCTCCATGTCACTTTCTATTTAAATTAATTTGCACTCTTTGGGGCTTTATCCACACACTTACATCATACTCTTTCTTTTTCTCCTTTCTTCTGTGTATATCATACACATGGCCTTATTTTTCCAGTTGACCCGAGTATCCACATCTTCTCTTTGCTTCTATTATCTCCTCATCTCCCCTTTGTTATATTTCCCAAGACTAGCAAATTATATTAGAAAACCGAGTAAAGGGTAGGCACCTTGTCGTAATTGAGTCTCTTCTTGGTCGTATCTGGAAGAAAACTGACTCCCTGCAAAGACCTAACAGCAGCCTGGCTGTCAAAGATGGTGGTACCCTACTGCGTCACCTTCAACCCTTCCCAAAAGGGTTGAAAGAGAAGAAAGGAGAGGGAAGAAGACTGTCTCTGCTGGAAATAATCCAGATTTAATTTCTGTGAGACTGAGAATTACCATGGATTTCCTGTTTTGCTTTTGACCCAAGACATATAACATATTTCTATCTCTAGGGGTTTTTCCCTGATACCACTGGGATCCTTCTGTCATTAAATATGATGATGATTAAGAAGAAATGATGAAAGGAACACAGCTCAGCCCAAATTATCTAAAAGGGTTACTAAAGAAATTCCTAAGTTTCAGATAAAACCTAGTTCACAGAAATCTAATGTGCTTTAGATTCTCCTAAGATTTTTTAGACTTTAAAATGATTAATCATCTACCAACATCCCCGAAATGAAGTAGCCTTTAGGTAGGAGCAGAAGGGTTATAGAAAAAGAATAGTACACATTCAACTGCATTATTTTTCTTAATGTCTTAATACAAACCTATATCATCTACCCTGTTCCTGTCAATTCTTCCTCTATTCCCACTATCCTATGTAGGATAGACAGGGACACAGAGAAAGTAGGCTTTAGTGTTCTTGTTTCTGCTGACATCCAACCAAGAGAATGTTCAAGCAATAAAAACAGTATCTTGTAAAAGAGAGTCAAAACAAAGATAAATTTTGGCCAATGAATGAAACAGTCTCTTAGTATTCCGAGGTCTCATTATAGCTATTATAAAATACCACTCTAAAGGCTTATACAAAAACTAAGGAAAGAGAAGTGTTCTTCCCTACTTTAAGGAGAGTAATATGCCTTGGGTGCCACCAAGACTCATCAAGGAGTGACACACCCCACTGCCCTTTCCTTTCCCCTTCCCCTTCTCCTTTTGCTTGGGGCTCCCTACAAAAACTATGGGAAATTTCTTCCCGAATTCTCCCCTGAACTCTACTGAACTCATTTCTAAGTCTCTGCTTCCCTTGGGCTTATTTTAGTCCCTAAACTTGATGCGACTCTAACCCACATGTACACTTTTTAAATCAGGAAAGCTTATTCATTTTTAACTTTCAATAATAATTTATGCTGGATCAGTAAAAAAAATACTAACTTTAAGTATAGGTTTGCTGAAAGGGCATAGTAAATGCACCACACTGACTCACCCTAATTCAAAAGCTAGTATGTATTTTTTTGACATTTTATTTTGAATACAACAAATTTTATAGTATACCTTGTAGCATTGTCCACAATTAGCTCAGATTCTGCTCTATGATTTGTCTTTAGTTCAATAGCACAATTTCTTGACTTAAGAGTCTCAAAAAGGTCTTGCAGCAAGTTACCAGGTTCAATGCTGGGTAACTGTCTAATATCACCTAAAATGGGGGAAAAAAATAAATACAGTAGGTTTTAGGTAAATGGGGTCCTCCAATTTTGAAATTACTTTTATTTCTCCCTACTGACAAGTAGGGAGAAATGAAGACTTCTCTGAGAAAAAAAGCCGAAAAAATCTTTGTTTAGAATTACTTGAGAACACTGTCTTTAAAAATATTAAACGAATTAAAAGATCCGTTCAAGTTAAACAATGTAAGATATAAAAAATAGTGAAAACACAACAAGGTAAAATTTGAATCAAACTTCTTTCATACCTATAACCACAGGCAAACTGTGTGGGGGCATATATCTTAGCCAACATGTAAAGAAAAAAACAGGCCTTACATATCTAGTACTTAGTCACTTATTCAGTCTTGCTCAACATCTTACTTAAACATGGAAGAATTTATGACCTCAAATAAATAAAATAAACATATAAAAAATAAACTCAATGCATTTGATAACAGATAAATTCCAGTAATGTAATGATAACATTTTGTTTTTATTTGTTTTTACTTTAAACAAACAAACTCTAGAGATAAGAAAAACTATTTTCTGGGTGGAAGACGGAAGAATGCTTAAGCCATTAATAGAATCAACTACTTATAAAATATCTCCAAGCACCTAAAAAAATTTACTTATATACAATTCGATTCTCATACTGTAATTCTATTTTTTTTCCTCCATTAAATCATATAGTATTAGCACTACCCCACAGAATCTAACTGAATCTCACCGGAATTGCAAACAACTTAAGAGGCTGGTGAGGTCTAATTTGAGTTATTACTTTATAAAATTACTTTTAAATGGTCTATAATTCAGACTATTTTATTATTTCCAAATAAATCTACATCCTGATTTACTCTATGACATTTTTACCATTTTAATAGTAATCATTTAGGTGATCAGTAGTAACTCCTCACAGCTCTATTTCATTCACATCCTAGCCTGCTAACATCCTGGCTTAAAGAACCACCCTAACTTCTGAAGAGAGTGGTCAGATTGATCTCAAATGGCTTCTTACCTGTAGGATATGGATATTAAAGCAGCGAAATGGTATATGCAGCCACTTAACCACAATGCTAATGCTTTGAACTAAACAACTGGAATTACAACAATATTTTAACTTACCGAGGATAATAAGCTTAGAAAGTTTGGAATGCGCAAGTAATAAATATAAAACGGATCTGAAGATCCCTACAGATACCAAACTCCCTTCATCCACAACCAGAACTTTCACCGAAGAAAACTTCCATGGACTGTCCTTGGTTGATTTTTGATCCCATAAATAGAAGCTAAAATTGATCTGCAAGCAAAGTATGACATTTCTAAGTTCAGGTTATAAAATTTACATATTTATATATTTTATATGTTATTTTAAAACAAAACTCCTAAATTGAGGCATGGGGAGTGTAGGTAGAGTAACATAGAGGGAAAGGCTGAAAAATGGAGAATACAAAAGTTATAGAGATGAATACATAAAAAACATAGATCAAATCATTCAAAAAAGTGCTTCCTAATAACTACTTAGTGTGTTTAATTTAACAAGCTTCACACACATCAATACTCCGCTGCAAAAATCTCAACCCTTCTCTTATCGCTTTTGATCAGATTCCGTTCCCAAATAAACCTTCTCTTGGCCTTCGGAGTTAACCCAATCACTTAAACCTTCCTCTTCTCCCACTATAATACTTCATCCTGGTAATAAAGGGCTGCCTTTTCAATCTATGAAAATACCACTTTTTCATCTAGTATTCTAAATTCCCTTACTTCTCCAACATTTAAAAAACTATCGCCGCCAAAAACAAAACAACCAAAGCACTATTTATTACAGAGGTAATATTTACTATTTAAAAAATATAGATGAGAAAAAATTTGTAAAATTACAGGCAGATAATGTTAAATATTTTTATCTCTATCATTCCAGAAAGGTTACTATATTATAAATATATATATACTGTATATACAGATTTTTTAAATGGTATATCTTTGCTTTCTACTGAAACTAGATTCAACATGTCTATTAAGGAAAAGCCTTCATATTTCCTTTCCAAATGCATAAATTCTCTGCAAAACCCATTCTTTCAGTGGCCTTGTCTCAACAATAGAACATTTGGAATCACTGCTAATTGTTCCCTTTATTTTCTTTTTTATATTCAATTAGTTATCTTAGAAATGCCTGACTGACATTTTCCACTGTATTTCTAGTGCTACCAACTCAATACAGGTCCCATCTATGAGATTACTTAGATTACTCTAATAACCTTACAGTCAGGTTCCCCTACACACTAACCCAAGATGGGACTGCCAGATAAAATGCAGGACATGCAGCTAAATTTGAATTTCAGATAAACAACAAATGACTGTTTAGTACAAGTATCTTTAATGCAATATTTGATACATATTTATACTTCAAATTATCTATATTTTTATCTGCTATATCAGGTACCCTCCAAGGATATAAATAAGTGACATAAGTGCCACCTTAATGCTCTTCCTATGCCGTTATACTCTCTCCTGAGCCTAAACGTGACTTCGGTAATATTCTCCCAGTATCCCAAGCAGATATTAAGATACTACCAGTTGATTGGAGTTGGAACATAAGATGAAATTTAATAACGATCCTTCTCTGGCCTCTCCTCTTCTAATTCAATCCTTCAGACTAATCAGA